TGAGATTCCTATGGGATTTCCATGTTATTTCTATGATCTTTCTATGGGATTTCTGTGAGATTCTTATGGGATTTCCATGTTATTTCTATGATCTTTCTATGGGATTTCTGTGAGATTCCTATGGAATTTCCATGTTATTTCTATGATCTTTCTATGGGATTTCTGTGAGATTCCTATGGGATTTCCATGTTATTTCTATGATCTTTCTATGGGATTTCTGTGAGATTCCTATGGGATTCCCATGTTATTTCTATGATCTTTCTATGGGATTTCTGTGAGATTCCTATGGGATTTCCATGTTATTTCTATGATCTTTCTATGGGATGTCTGTGAGATTCTTATAGGATTTCCATGTTATTTCTATGATCTTTCTATGGGATTTCTGTGAGATTCCTATGGGATTTCCATGTTATTTCTATGATCTTTCCATGGGATTTCTGTGAGATTCCTATGGGATTTCCATGTTATTTCTATGATCTTTCTATGGAATTTCTGTGAGATTCTTATGGGATTTCCATGTTATTTCTATGATCTTTCTATGGGATTTCTGTGAGATTCCTATGGGATTTCCATGTTATTTCTATGATCTTTCTATGGGATTTCTGTGAGATTCCTATGGGATTTCCATGTTATTTCTATGATCTTTCTATGGGATTTCTGTGAGATTCCTATGGGATTTCCATGTTGTTTCTATGATCTTTCTATGGGGTTTCTGTGAGATTCCTATGGGATTTCCATGTTATTTCTATGATCTTTTGGGATTTCCATTCCCTTTACATGTTCCTTTGCTAAAGATTTTTTTATTTTCTCAATTAATTTCTTTTATTTAGAATTCTCAGAAATGCTCAATTTCCCAAAATATATGATGCCTTATTAAAACCCAATTAAAAAACATCACTCAAACAATTTTCCAAGGGGGTAGTCCATGAGCAACCCTGATACAGAATAGCGTGGTTTGTTTGAGGGTACACTATTGTGTCCAGCTGCTTCCTGAGGTTATGTTTTTTTTCAACCTTTTCCTTTTCCTTTTCCTTTGCTAAAGTTTGTTTCCTTTTACTTAGCTTCATTTTTCTTGGAATCAAAACCAAAGGCGTTCCAAAGGATTAGTTTCAGCCAAGCGGAAAAAAACATGAATGATCATGATACACAATAGTATGGTTTGTTTGAGGGTACACTATTGTGTCCAGCTGCTTCCTGAGGTGATTTTTTTTTACATTCCCTTTACATTTTCCTTTGCTAAAGTTTGTTTCCTTTTACTTAGCTTCATTTTTTTTGGAATCAAAACCAAAGGCTTTCCAAAGGATTAGTTTCAGCCAACCAAAAAAAACATGAATGATCATGATACACAATAGTATGGTTTGTTTGGGGGTACACTATTGTGTCCAGCTGCTTCCTGAGGTGATTGTTTTTTTCTTTTACTTGAAAGTAAATTGAAATCAATTGCAAGTAAATTGAAATCAATTGAAAGTAACTTGAAATGAATATGATCATGATACACAATAGTATGGTTTGTTTGAGGGTACACTATTGTGTCCAGCTGCTTCCTGAGGTGATTTTGTTTTTTTTACATTCCCTTTACATTTTCCTTTGCTAAAGTTTCTTTTATTTTCTCAATTAGTTTCTTTTATTTAGAATTCTCAGAAATGCTCAATTTACCAAAATATATGATGCCTTATTAAAACCCAATTAAAAAACATCACTCAAACATTTTTTCAAGGGGTAGTCCATGAGCAACCCTGATACACAATAGTATGGTTTGTTTGGGGGTACACTATTGTGTCCAGCTGCTTCCTGAGGTGATTGTTTTTTTTTCTTTTACTTGAAAGTAAATTGAAATCAATTGCAAGTAAATTGAAATCAATTGAAAGTAACTTGAAATGAATATGATCATGATACACAATAGTATGGTTTGTTTGAGGGTACACTATTGTGTCCAGCTGCTTCCTGTGGTGATTGTTTTTTTTCTTTTACTTGAAAGTAAATTGAAATCAATTGAAAGTAAATTGAAATCAATTGAAAGTAAATTGAAATCAACTGAAAGTAAATTGAAATCAATTGAAAGTAAATTGAAATCAATTCAAAATAAATTCAAATCAATTCAAAATAAATTCAAATCAATTGAAAGTAAATTGAAATCAATTGAAAGTAAATTGAAATCAATTCAAAATAAATTCAAATCAATTGAAAGTAAATTGAAATCAATTCAAAATAAATTCAAATCAATTGAAAGTAAATTGAAATCAATTGAAAGTAAATTCAAATCAATTGAAAGTAAATTGAAATCAATTGAAAGTAAATTCAAATCAATTGAAAGTAAATTGAAATCAATTTAAATCTATCAATTTTTTTTGATTTTACCGTATTCTGTACCCGGTAATTTGTTTTTTCCACACTATTCTGTTACCCAAATTTGTTTTGGGGGGGGGGGGCCTCCCCACACTAATCAGTAACCTACATTATTAATATATGATATGTATGTATGTCTCCTTATGTATATATTTGTATGAATATATAGATAAATAAATAAATAAATAAATAAACAAATAAATAAATAAATAAATATAATTACGACGAATCGAAATTCAACAACGAATCCAAATCAAAGATTGAATCGCAAGCTCTCGAATTGAAATTAATCAAGTATCCCTTACTAACGAACATACTCCCCGCAGGACTCGACACGTTACGAATCGAATCGGTATCGGAATCGCGATAAGCGGAATCGAAAACCAATTCTCTCGAAATCAAGTCCTTCTATAAAAAATCGAATCGAAATCGCTAAAAACGAACCGGGACCACCCTGGGCATAAATTTGACATCCAGCAATGCCCAAGTGATTGACTGACTGTGGGTTGCAACGCCTTTTTTTCAAACATAGATTCCGGAAAAACAATCCTTTAGTGATACATTGGCTCTGGGTTGGCCTTACTTTTCAATAAATTTAAAGGCTGGGGGCCCCAAATTATAGGTAAAATGTGCGTTCAACTGCCTTCAGAAATAGAAAGGCTGATCATCCCAAGTCATTGGCAAATCTTGGGGTTTGGATGTTTTGTCATGAATTGTCATGAATATAAATGTCAAGGCTGGAGACTCGCCTCAGTGATGGGTCAGGTTCGCTAAGGCACAGCTGTTGCATTCCAAAGGCGGCGCATGAAGCAAAAACAACAATTTTGTGTCGTGCATTTTATACCAAAGGAAACTTTAAATACATCCAATCGTCACCAAGCACCAAGCACTTGATGGATTTGTTCCTACCACTACAAGTGAAAGGCAATCCGAACCTTGACATGTTTTGGTTTATAAGATTGTTGCTGCCCATCATTAACGTGATTTCGCAAAGTGTTTTTCAAACCCAGGGTTTGCCAAGCACTTGGGGTTTCTCCAACCTTTATATAAATGTATTGCAAAAAAAAACAAAAACAATCCAGTCCAAGGTTGAACAATCACTCAGGGACCTCCTCTTAAAACCTATGTTCATCTCAATAAATGGATGGATGGAACAAAAAAAACATCAAACAAACATGAACACCGGTGAGCGCCCATGAACGCACATGAACACCCATGATCACCAATGAATTTAACTGTATCCCATTGATTTTCATTGATTTTCCAAAACACTGCAGTTTGCAATTTATATGTTCGGTCTTTGTTTTTTTAATGGTTGATTTATCATCGTTGGTGTTTGGTCTTGCGTGGTTTTAAGTCAAACTATTTTGTTTACAAAACTTGAAAATCATGATAGTTGTTTTTTCATCCTCGCTGGTTTGGCACCCAGAAAAACTCTCCATTGCCATTGTTGCAGCACATGTTTATATATAGATATAAGCATATAGATCTAGATCAATCAAAAGATAAATGAATATATATAATATAATATATATATATATATGTTGCTTTGTGTTTCCATCCCTTGTTGGTTTGCCCATCCAAACAAAATAGTCTTTGCAAGCTGCTGGACAGCCGCATTTTAAGCCAAAAAATGGGTCATGTCAAATTTAACTTTATACAATGTAAAATTGCGACGTGTAGCCCAAGCAGTGGATGTGCCAATTGCTGCAAGATAGGCCCAACATACCCCCAACTTGGCACAGGATAGGCCCAATATGGCTGGGGCACGGCCCAAAAAGGACGGTTTTCCGCAACCCAAACCTAATTTTTCTTAGGTCTGGGTTGAAATTGGCTGAACATAAGCCCAAATGGTGGCATCTTTTTGCTCAACATAGGCCGAACATAGGCCCAGCAGAGCCACCAAGTGACCCAACATAAGCCCACCAAAGGCCCATGACATGGTTTCGAATACAGCTTCCAACCAGGTCTATCAAATACACATGCCATAAATGTGCAGGATAGCCCCAACATAGGTGCCATTCCTAGGCTGATGCTCTTGTATTTGATCTAGCCAAGCATCACTACCAGTGAAACCACGGGCATCCAGAAACTCCCAAGGCCTCACAAAAGATCTTGAACCATTTTTTCAACCTAAACTTGAAAAAGACATCAAGTTACGTTTGTTTTCTTTTGTGGCCTGTTTTGATATTCATCGAATTTTTGCTTCCAATTATATTCACAAAATGCTGAGCATCTTTGAGGTTGTTGATAAAAAAAAGTCTGTTTTTCAAAGAAACAATTTGAAAAAAAAAACGTAGCTTACTCATCAAAACAACAAACAGAAAAAAAAGGCTATTCATAGAAATAACCTAAGGAAAAAATGGTATTTGATCATTCTGACTATTAGGTAAAACAGTTGTTTTACCTAATAGGTAAAAACAAAATTTAACTAATAGTCAGAAAACAACCTAATAGATAGAATTTAGCCTAACCAGAGCTTTTGGGACACTTGTAACAACGTCTTGCATGACTTGACAAGCATATCAGAGTCAAAGGACAGGAGCTGCAATCAAGTTTCAGGACTCCCTGGAATGAAATTCTATGGCATCATTCATCGCATTTTCGAGGAAATCACGGGAAACTCAGATTATGGCCAAGGGATGCCAAGGGTCTTTGCTATACTTGCCCGGGAAGCTTACAATGCAATCCTTGGCTTCTGGGTTCACCTTCCCTGGGAAAGCGATTCGCTTGCCCTGGAGTCTTGCCATGTCGCCTATATCTTCCAGAGTGTCGGCCTCATATCCAAGTACGTGCATCGTGACAAGCATGAAAAAGGCATCCAAAGCGAGGTACCAGCCAAAGCCAATCATAGGAACAATGAAATGCTCCGCTAGTGGCATATAGACTGAATCCCAAATGCCAAGAACTGCAGCACATCGAAGAAAGAAGACATCTTTATCAACTTGCTCTTCCCAGTTCTTCCGAATCTCTCGAAATTGGAATGCTTCGTCTGCCGCCGCCCATAACGCCCATGCCTGCAACCCCGTGGCAAGGATCAGAAATGGCCAGCTGCCAATCGCGACTGCCGCCCCGATCCACGGAGTCCATCCCAGTTTCAGCATGGCAGGCCACACGCGAAGCACCCACCAAAAGAGCCACATCGCACAAGAAGAGAATGCCGCCCTCTCCCACCCAAGAAGAAGCAGCTTCTCAAACGCCAACACAGGGAGACCTATGTGGCCGCCCCAAGACTCTTCAATCACCCCGCGCTGCCGCTCCTCAGTGGGCGGCACCTTGGCGAGGCCATACCTCCCCCCCAAGGAGAGTGAATAGAAAATCAAGAGGGACGCCAGGAGGCTCATCATTTCCATAAAGACACTCTTTGACGTTCCCAAGCGCAGGATAAAGGATGCCGTGCCAAGGGCACCAAGGAGTGGGAGGATGATGGCCTGGGTCCAAGCAGACCAGACCAAGGCCTCAGGTGCGAGGCCTGGCCCAGACAACCACGGCAGCCATTGGTGGAAAATTTCTGGGTGAGGCGGGTCATTGATGAATTGGAGGTTCCTCACCGCCATGGCCACAGCGAAAGCTAGGACGAAGCACACAAGGTGCAGCTTGCAAGCCAGGACTAACCACACAAGGAGCCGCTTGCATTCCTGAGATCTCACGATTCCCACGATCCTGCCCAGGATCCTATGGATGCTATGGAAATGTGCGTTCCGAGCCTCTCTCCTGGTTTGAGGAGTGGCTAAGTTTTGGGCCTCAACATCTGAGGTGGTCGATAGACGGCCATAGGTGGTCAATCGAAGGCCATACCCAGCAACCGCCATGGCTTCGGAAGACTGTGAAACTGTGTCTGGAACTGTGAAACTGTGACCCCTCCTCAGCTGCTCGTTTGAACTAAAAATCCTTGGCAAATCCCCCATCATTTTAAACATCCGGATTTGTCTCAAAAATCGTCAGCCCTTCAAAAACGGACGATATACAAAAGGCCACAACAGGTCTAGTATAATCACCAACAACCAAAAAAAAACATCCAAAAATAGCCTACATTGATGATTTCATGTTTTTTCATGATGGTTTTGTTTACTCCTTACAATCATGGCACTTTTTGTTCGCCCCTCGAAAAATCTTGGTCGCCCATTCGGGCCTGGGACCTTGGGCCGTGAGGATCGTTCCAGCGAGCCGTGCTTCAGAGTGGTCTAACTGCCAAACATACCGGGATTTATTGGGATTTCACCAACAAGAATACGGGAAAAAGCATGGGAATATGGAATATGTGTGTTTTTTACAGCAAAATGACCCTTCTGAGCATTCAGGCTACTGACATGCCGTTTCAATGGATTCATTCAATGGATAGATGCGAGCCGGGCCATGGAGGACATAAGAAGGCCTCAGGTGTATCAAACATTTGGCCAAGACTTGAACATTGCATGGACCCGCAATCCTATATACCTACGTAATTATGTCACGAAGTGTGTTTATTATGCATCTATATATATATATATATATATGTATCAATGAAAAGTTGGAGGATGTTACATATGTTTAATATTGAAAATATACTTTATATCTGTTATAGGTCTAAGCTGTAACAGGACAACTAATTAAATATGTTTAAAGTTATACATACCTTTTATATTTATATATATATATTATATACGTAGTATGATGCGATGCGATTAGAACTAAACACAAGATCACACAAGTTCCCTTGGGGTGTGAGCAGAATGGGCCTCATCATTGCAGGTATCCCAGAATTCACTCGATTATGTGGACTCCCGGGCCTCTGAGCCATACTTATATCACTTATGCAGTTTTGGACTGGGTTCGTGCATCCTCTCAGGACATTTGGGCTGGGGGTTGGGTATGAATGAAACTCCAGGTTGGAAACTCTAAAGTTAGATTCGAGAATTAGACTACTTACAGTATTTAAATTGTCTTCAGTTGCACACTGCAGGGATGGGAACCGAAAAATAAACGACCAGCCAATCTGTGAGCACTGAGGCTCCCTGCCACATCCGGTGCCATGGCATTGCTGCTGTGCCTACCGTCCCTCTGAGCCATTGCTCGCATACGTTGCATTGAAGAAGTCATGCCCCTCAACAGGGGTTGTGTGACTTGTCAGATTTGCGGATTACACAATATTAGCAGGTTCCCAATTCAAAGATATAGAAGGATATGCAATAGATCTGGGGCAATATCGGACATAGTGTACCCTTGATGAAAGCCAGTCAATGCGGTATCTCATTGAGTCAGCGGCGATGCGTATATTGAAAATTCTTAAAATCTCTTGTAGTAGCTGGTCCTTATGTCCTTGGGTTCTCAAGGATGTCAAGGTCCTACAGTAACACCGTAATTTTGTAGACTTCCCCTTAAAAAAAAAAAACATGACTTTGAGTTGCCGGGTACTTCTCAACATCTACATTGATGTAGAGCTTCAACGCTCCTATTCAAAATGCTACATAGGATGGCCAAACATCTGGCGATCGATATCTTGGCCCAAGCGTCAAGGGTTGAATCATCTGATACTCCCGCCGTTCTTCCTGGTGGGTCCTTGGAATCTGGCTGCAGCTCCAATGGGCAAAGGATGGCAGTCGGCCAGTTCTTCCGGGTGCCTTTTTCATTTGCAGCCAGCCTCTTCCCAGGTGACACGCGCCTAGTCTCGAGTTCTAGAGGCATTAATTTTGAATTGCGCTCCACGGAGGTAAAACGGTTCCAACGAACTTGACAGGTTGGTGAGGACAGCCTGTTCCAAGCATCGACGTGAAGCATCCGCAATCCCTGTGATAAATGCTTCCCCAAAAAAAACATATGATTCGTAATACTTCCACTTGTTGTTGGTTCTGTCATTGTTCTTTTTCCATTTCTGAATTTCTGACTGAACTACTGAACTCTGGCACCAACCGGCCGGTTCTGGGACCTAAAAAAAACTGCTACGGCTGCCACGGCCATAGGGCCCCTTTGATCTGACGGAGCCATCCATGGAGCGGATCAGCAGGGCTCCTGGGGCACATCCCGCCTGAGGATGGCTACCGGTTACCGCCCATCTATATGGTCCTGGGGAGGGATTCATTGTTTGGTTTATCACTTCATAATCAATGCCACCATTGCCCCGAGAAAATAGACAAAACATGACATAACACCTCATTTGTAGCTGAGCAGATTCTAGAGAGAAGAGATTTTTGGGCAAAACCAATAGCTTCTTTACCCAACCAAGGTTTTTCTGGCAAGCCCGAAGAGATTTCACCAACCGACGCGCGGAAACTCATGAGGTCGTCTGGGACGAGGTCGTACTGTTCCACTTTTTTTGCATCTTTACTTTAAACCACCATTTCAACATGATGCATCCCATCAAATTCCCAAATCGGGGGTCCTTGCTCTTGGCCCTTCGTCATGCAATTCCTCACGCACTTCCTGTGGCACTGCCTCTCTTGGCACCTCTCGAGCCGCCGCCAAGCCGTCTGCAAGAGCCAAATGTGCTGGAGGTGGGCGTTGTTTTCCAGTCCTTGGTGTGTTGGGACAACCCTTGAAGTCAATGACCTGCCAGTGGCCTTCATGTGGAAAATCTATCATTTGTAGATCGTGTTTATGAGGAAACCGTGTGTTTTCGATAATGTGTTGCACTGCGCTGAGTGCATGTATTGACCAAGACTACTGAGTGACTACTGACAAGACATCAGACTTAGACATAGTTCACCAATTTTTTAGAGGCTGCCCAGGCATCCACACTTTCCCAGCTCTACTTGAAACATGGTTGATCTCGTAAATGCCACCCAAGAAAGACGTCATTGCAGTCGGATATACAAAGATTCCTCTACTCGACAAGGTTCCGGCTTTTCCTCCGAAAACATGCCATCTTTAGTTCGCCACCATCACTTCAAAATGATCGACATGTTCCTTAAAAAAAAGCGTAGGAACTCGTCAGCAATGTCACTGATGAACGCGTTCTGCAAAGCAGGCTACGCTACATAATCCTATGTTTTCCTTTGATCAACCTGCCTTTTCCGTAGACGGCCTTATGTTTTCTTATAAATGTGTTCCCACTTTTTCCCATCACTGAAATTGCAATTTCTGTCATGATCTGCAGCTGCAAACATTGAAGGTTCGTTGTTTTTTCTGTCAGTGTCCTTCGGTTTCCTTCTGTCCTTAGATCTGAAAGACTTCCTTAGGTTTTCTTCTGGGGGTTCTTGCCATTTCCTTACATGTTCTTTCGCTTCCTTAGATTTAGATCTGGGCTGCTGCTTGGATTTGTTGCCTTGTTCTGAGATGTCCTTTCTCTCGGCTTACTTTGAGTTTCTTTTGATTTCTGAGGAGGAAAAGCGAGACAAGCAATGCCAAGGAAAAGGCTAACCCATCAAAGAAAATCGAAGGAGGCCACATGTAAGCCAAAAGAATAGCTCAAACATGCCTGTTGCTATGAGGTACCTTGGAAAACTGCCAAGAAATGGTAATCTCCAGAGACAAGAGCTCCATATTTTTGAAGATGCAAACATCAGTGCCTCCACAATACTCACCTTGCTGGCTGGAACGTTTCGCGGTTGGTTCCCCGTATGTTAACCATCATCTAGTGGGGTCGCTATATAATTTGCCCAGATTGATGTTGATGAATTCCTTGAATCCATCTTGAATCCATCTCCCCAAAATATAATGTCAACACGCAAGAAAACCCTGGGTGGATATGGTGGAGGTCATTCCCATTTTACTGTCGGGTGATTTTCTGGTTAATACCTCCATTTTAGGGTCCTGAAACTTCCACTGAAACATGTATACAATCCAGTTGTTGGAATAGTTATCAACAAACCGGTTAAGCTATATAGTTTTATTAATATTCATGAATACCCCCAACTGCACCCCCAGGTATATCCCCATCAATCAGCAGAAAATGACCATCAATTACCCATGAAACCCACAACGGCGCCGCGAAATTGCCCAAGCGACAGCCTCCTAGCCACCGGCCGTGCCGGCCGCGGCAGCAGTAGTTCGTGCACCATGCCGTGCAGCTGTCCTGCCGCCTTCGCCGTCGCTTGGCGCACAGCGTTCCTGAACGGGGCGGTTGGGAGATGGTTCCAGTGGCGACAGAGCTGGGATAAGATCCTGGAAAAATAGTGGGATTTAATGGGATTCAGCTGATTCTATAGGATTTCATGTGATTTTTATAGTAAAATGATCATGACGGCTTATACTTGGAGGATCACCACACGTTTCTCGTAAGTTAGCAACTGAGGTCAGTTCACCGGATAAGCCTTGGACTCAGGGTATTACGATCACCGGGGTTCTTAAGATCCGGGACTTTCCAGCCCATCTATTGTGATCTGTGCGATGCGCAGTACTTTTGAGATATAGTTAGCTATAGTTTCCATTCCCTTACATTGTACATTAAGTTACATTGACATTAAACTTTAAACACCCCAATGCGAAACTCCAAAATGAATGAATCAGTACTAGACAACAATACAACAAGTCTTGGGATAGTTTCGGGAGAGTTGGGGATAGGGGTTCAACCAACCCAGGGTCAATGGAATGGCTACAAATCGTGATCTCAGAAAGGCGAATTCTAGCATAGATTATGCAGAAATGGTATCAACCAAGCAGTTCGTGTGGGTAGAAGCGGATAGAACGAGATAAGTTTCCCAAAGGTGAACCCTCGCAAGAATGAGGGTCTACTAACGGCTTATGAACCACCAGCAAACAAGAATGAGACTTATTGCGCATGTAGTATCGGGAAAACTACCACTACCATATCTACCATTTACCTACCACTGAAATGTACCAATATCAACAAATCATGGATAAAGTTGAGACTTGCCTCGAGGCTTCTCAAACCCTTGGTATAGCAGTGGTTACAGGTTCACTTGACTGAGACGGCCTCAGGTTTACTAGGGCAACCAATTTTAGTGCCCACGTGTCCACTTGCAAGTAAGTTGTTTCGTTCTTCTATAGAGTCTGATTGGCAGTCTGGCTTTGATAATGAGATCCTCTAAAGTGGACATAGGTAGACCAAGTGCAACGAATTCACATGTCCCCACCTTTTGTTCCCCCACTTCTGATACTTATGGGCGAAGTAACATATTGTCGCCGAATAGAAGAGAGAGCAAAAAAGGTGTGGAGGATGCTTTAAGCTGCACCTCTGCCCACGCATGGGATAATTGTAGTCCTCCAGTGGGACTTAGAATCACGTTCAGGTTTCCAAGCATTGATCATCAATACACTTAGAATGTCGTTTCTATCGAGGGTCATGCTAAATGTATGAAACCTGCAAAATACACACATGATGTGATTTCGCACCAAAAATTGTAGTTTTCACTGTTCTTACAATGTATATAATGTTTCATTGGGCTGAGGGAAATGTACGGGAGATAATAGTTTAATAGTTATGACCAGTTAGCACAGGACTTTCTTGCAGATTTTCTCATCCGATTCTGGGGATGTTTCAGCAAACCACCGTGAAAGCAATGACTGGGCCGCGTAGCAATTCCTTCTTCTGTCGGTCTTGTTCTTTCTTCATGTCATCCTTTCCTTGGGGCTCAACAACACGTTGCTAATCTCTACCGTGCCAAGAAACGAAACATGTTCATCCAAAAAGACAACCACGCCGATGTTTGAAAGAAAAGCACGTTCTAACACTTCATCGGATTGTTTTTTCAGTGAGGTGTATTCCCAATGATTTTCCCCAAGGGGTTGCCGGGTGTCCTTTCTTGGCGGCACTCTTCAACCTGGGGCAAACCCCACCCACGGTGAAAGAGTTGGGGCCTTAGGTCGTGGCAGGAATTTGTTGCCCTGAGTCATCTAAAAATAGATAAATAGATGCAAATATGCAAATAGTACATCTATTCTTATAGTCAACAGTAAACAGTACAGTACGATTTACTGCTTGTATCTGCTTACATTTACCCCAGCAATCACCCAAGAGTTTTCTCCACATGCATGAGCCTGGCTGGTTTTCTCCCCCGGCCTCTGGCCGTAGAGCATGGCCGTCTCGACGTCCATGGTTCTTGGCGTGATATTTCTGTACTTGCTGCCTGCCAGTGATCCCTGAGCCCTGCCTTGATACGACCGGGCCATTTCCATGACTTTCTCTGCGCATTTTGCGCCCAAATGGGCACGAAGAATCAAAACCACTACGTTTAATACCAGCTAATGACATAAGCAGTAAGGAACCTGAGAAGGGGGGAACGAAAGCCAGCATCCCATCTACCCCTATTTTCCACCATACTTTTCACCCAGAGACTCTTCAATACATTTCACCCATATACTTTTCACCCAGAGATTTTTCACCCAGAAACTCTTCTTGCACAGGCTTTTCACCCATATACTTTTCACAAAGAGACTCTTCACCCAATTTTTTTTCTTGCACATACTTTTCGCCCATATACTTTTCACCCAGAGATTCTTCACCCAGAAACTCTTCTTGCACAGACTTTTCACCCAGAGACTCTTCAACCAGAAACTCTTCGTGCACATACTTTTC